ACCAGTCTTAATTCAAGACAGTGCAAAACCTGTATTGCACACGATCAGCCAAATAATTAACCAAAATGAATCAACAAGCAGGCATAAATTTGCCCTAAGCAGGGACGGGCAAAAGCAAACAACGCTAGGCCTATAATTCAAACTGCATTTACTTAGAATCCAGATGCATTTTTTTTCTTCTGAAATGAAATCATTGGGAGTCTTGTGAAACTGTCCTTCAACTGAGTTACTCTTATAGTTGGTAGTTTTTCTCCTATATTTGAGCTAAACTTTCTTTCAGAAATTGAATTTTAAAAGAGTAAAGAACACTATGGATAGTTTTAGATACAACTAGCAAGTGAAAAAAGATCATCCTGTTACTGAAACATGTGTTTAGCTTAAATATAGGAAAAACAACTAAAAAGAAAAGATGCTGGAAAAGGAGAAACTTCTAAAAACACACATCCCCAGGAGCAGATATTTTAGAAACAGGGCATTAGGTTTCAAGGCAGCATCTAACCAACAGGCTTAGGAGTCTCTTTCTTAAGCTATGTTGTCCACCTCAAATTTTTCATGGCTGTCAAATAATATAAATACTAAAGGTGGTGGAGAAGAGAATAGTCAGCAAGTTTACCCAAATCATTTTTAAAGACGTTAAATTACTGTTAGTGGAATAATTCATTAATAAACTAACCTTAAGCATAACCAAATAGTCATCATGACGTTGGATCTGAAGAAGATTTGCCAAAGCCATCACGCCAGCTTTAAAATCAGGATTATTCACTGTAAAAAAAGAAAAACATAGGTACAGGTTAATTCTTTTTTTGATGCATATTTCACACTAAGAAAAAATTAAGCTGTATCTTTACTCACCATCCAGGTTTATCAGGGGTTCTGTATTTTTGGCTGCATTATCTGCATCTTTAGGCCCTTCTGGTGTAGGGTCCTTATATTTGTCAGCTGTTAAAAGAAAAGCCAGTTCACTCAATGCATAACTACCGGTATGGGCCACAATACAAAGAAAAAGCTCAAAATGAAAGAAAGCCTCAGAGCAAAGGAAATAAGCATTATACTATTCTTCTAATTCGAGAACAGCATGTGCATAACAGCCGCAGCTGTCTACATTGTCCAAAAATTTCACTGTAAGTTCTTGTTAATTGCTACTAATAATGAATCCTAAGTAGCATCTATTATCATGTTCATTGACAGCAAACAACATTTTCTTTAAAATACTGGACAGCTTGTCCAAATTCAGAAAAAAAAATATCAAAGGACAGAACTATAGTTTTAGTAGAGAACTGGGTCACAGTATCAGCGAAATAACTGCAAATTGGTGGATAAGTTTTTTGCAATAAAAAATGTAATGGGCATAAAGTGAAATTGTTAATTCATAGTTTGTTAGCTGTCTGCTCAATGCCCGTGCTGGGGGAGGGGAGAGCTGGTAGAGAAAATGGTTGTAAAGAAATAAGTGAGCATTTCCCAATCTATCCTTTCTGCAGTGAACTGGCAGAAGATCAGGTTTTCTGAAATACCTGACTCTAGGGTGGCTTTTTTTCAGCCTGATCAACTTGAAGATGTGTGGACTTTAACTTCAATGGATGGAGCTAGGGCTGGCTGGCAAATTCTGGGAGTTGGACCACCATATCTTAAAGTTGCCCAGGTTGAAAAATACTCTTTTAGAGCATTGCACTATAAGTAGTACCTGAATGCTAAAGAGAAGCAATGGATGAAAACTAACGAAAGAGAGAAGCAACCTAGAACTAAGGAGAAATTTCCTGACAGTTAGAACAATTAACCAGTGGAACAACCTGCTTCTAGAAGCGGTGAATACTCCAACACTGGAAGTTTTTATGAAGAGACTGGACAGCCATTTGTCCGAAATGGTATAGGGTTTCCTGCCTGAGCAGGGGGTTGGACTAGATGACCTCCAAGGTCCCTTCCAACTCTATTATTATTATTATTATTATTATTATTATTATTATTATTATTATTATTATTATTATTCAAGAGAAGATTAAAAAGTCCAGCATACCATTGTCTCCATACTCAAGCCTAACTGCCAATCCCAAAAGCCAATCAATGGTTTCTTGCCGTTCTTGTACAGTAAAGGGACAATTCACATCTTTAAGGTACTGTTAAAAAAACAAGTTTAAATCAAACATTTCAATTAACAACAAATCTTAAAAGCCATAGGTTTCACTTTGGTGAACACCTTAACAGAGATCTGGCACTGAATAAAGCATCTTTAATCAGGGGGGGAAAAACTTGCTGCTGCCATACCTAAACCAAGACAGTTCAGCACTTTTTGTGTCAAAAGCATTTAATATCTACTTTTGAAAGATAAAGGATACTTCTATGTGTTATGAAATAGCTTGGAAAATACTTTCTTGTGATCTTATTCTATGCCACAAACATTAAAAAGGCATGGCCGTATGGATAGGACCAGTCCTGTAAATCCCTTTCACCTAACTTTTCCTTAGCTATGAAGTGTGCTTCATTGGGTAATAAGATCCTGAACACAGTTCCAAATGTACACAGAGTCATGGAGCAAAACAATATTTATTTTTAACTCTCGGTTGTTTATATTCTAATTCTGCTACAATATTTTTTCCATTTACTGCTGCTGTACTCCTAAATCTTTCCTAATCTCAACTCCAAATTACTTGTTAGCATAGTGAATTCTTAGTTGGTACCTCTCACACATTTCCTACTCTGTAATGAATTTATACAATTTATACCCACTATTCTGGTGGTGCAGGAGGCTACCAATTGTGTGGAAAAAAATATAACAATGTATCACAAATTGGGCAAATAGTGTCTATAGGCATCCATCCTGGATTATTTTAGCAGTATCCAGGCAAATAGATTTTCCTTACTACTAAATTACACTCTTGTTTTTTTTAAGTATGTTGCAGACTTATATTGCAACTGTCAATGTAGTTCAGAGGTCCTCAACCTATCCAGCTTGGTGGCCTGGCCTGGTGAGGGGGCAGAGGCATGTGAGTGGCAGGCGCACGTACACAGCTCCATTTGTGCAAGTGGCACGTGCACTCTCCACTCGCACAAATGGAGCTTTGCACTCAAGTGGAGGGTGTTTGTGCTCGCGTGCGAAGCTCTGCTTGCACGAGTGAGACACCTACACTCGTGGGCAAAGCTCCACTAGCAGAGCTTTGCATGCAAGAGCAAGTGTCCTCTGCTTGCACAAGTAGAACTTCGCACGCACACGCTTGCCCATTTCTCCCATGGCCTGGTTTCAAACAGGCTGCAGTCCAGTAGTGGGCCATGGCCCAGAGGTTGGGGACCTCTGATGTAGTTATAGAAACCAAATTAGTATGTCCATACTTTTGTAAGTTTATACAAAAAATGCTACAGCCAGTGAAAATACCTTAATTTTACTTTTCTGTGCTCTCATCAAATCTAGTCCGAATTAATCAATCAGCATGTAATGTGCTGCTATAGTAAAACAGATACCATCCACATTAAATATAATACTACCTTTTCAAAGGACTTTGACCATTCTGTGGCATTATGGATGTTTCTTAAATTCCCCCTATCTTCAATTTTATAGTGTCGGATTTTCTGGTCTTCAAGCCAAACAATAAAATTTCGGAATTCTGTTTCATCTACAATAACAAATAAATACAAGTCACATCATAAAAAATACTTTTCCTTAAATTAAAAGAAATCCTTGTAAAATTCTTTCTATTATACTAAATTCTCTATTATCTAGAAGATACAATAATTAATAGCAAGATCCTTCTGTATCTTCAGCCTGTCTTCTGGAGTGTTGGCTATTCTTCCCAGCTTGGTGTCGTCTGCAAATTTGATGAGTTCCCCATCTATCCCCTCATCCAAATCGTTGATGAAGATGTTGAAGAGCACTGGGCCCAGAACAGAGCCCTAGGGCACCCCACTACACACTTCCCTCCATGTAGATGCGGTTCCATTGAGGACCACACGCTGAGTACGGCCGGTCAGCCAGCTACGGATCCATCTGGTGGTGATGCTGTCTAACCCACATTTTTCTATCTTATCAAGTAGTAGGTTGTGGTCTACTTTATCAAATGCCTTACTGAAGTCCAAGTAAGTTATATCCACAGCATTCCTCTGGTCCACTAATTTTGTCACCTAGTCAAAGAATGCAGTAAGATTTGTCTGGCATGTTTTGTTTTTGACAAAACCATGTTGGCTTTTGGTAATGACTTTGTTTGCCTCTAGGTGTTCGCTGATTCGTTGCTTGATTATCATTATCACTGAGGACCACATGCTGAGTATGGCCAGTCAGCCAGCTACGAATCCATCTGGTGGTGATGCTGTCTAATTTAATTTAATAAATACATTTCTAAAAGTACAAATCCATTTTAATGCAATATAGTCATATATTATTGCTCCGTAAGGCAGCTTACAGTTTTAAAGTCGTATCTCTCTATAGCTTTCTTTAGAGATGGAGACTGATAACCTTATCAATCAGTATTGGAAACCTGGCTGGAGAATTCTGGGAGTTGAAGTCCACAGTTGCCAAGGTTGGACACCCCTATTCTAAGTTCTAAAATAACAACATAGTTAAGAAGCAAAGAATCGATCAAATCTCTCTTCTTTAACTCCTATTTTGCCCGTGATACCACCTGAAAGAGAAGATTTTAGCTGTTCAACTTCGGTTCCAGTTTTGGAGGACAAGTGTGGAATTGCGTCCCTGAGGCCTCATTGTAGTTTCAGGAGCTATTTACTGCAGGGTTTATGGTAATTAATTTCAACCTCTTTTCGGGAAACTCCACCTGGGGCTGGTACCCAGGCAGATACCAAATGCTTATGTTCAATACAAACCTAACTTTTGTACACGCTGGGTAACGTGAGCACTTACTTAACAAAGTGCTTCCTAAGCTGGTACTCTCAAAATATGGCTGATTACAAAGAAGGAATCCCCCTGGCTTGGTTTAACTAAGTCAGTGTTTCTCAACCTTGACAATTTTAAGGCATGTGGACTTCATCTCCCAGAATTCCACAGCCAGCATTGCTGGCTGTGGAATTCTGGGAGATGAAGTCCACATGCCTTAAAATTGTCAAGGTTGAGAAACACTGAACTAAGTGATGGGAACTGTACGGTAGTTGCTTATACCTGGAGGGCATCACGAGAAAGCAGCTTTTAAGGGGAGGGGACGCGAAAAAAAGGACCGAAGGGACGCGGTCAACGCAACCATTCTCTTGTCTGGGAGAAAGCGAAGGGGCTTCGCGCATGCGTATCAAAATGCCAACAGCAGCTAACCAGCCATGAATGAGACGATGGGTTTGTACTGCGGCCTATTGGGAACGGCTTCCCTCACCTCGGCAGTTGAACCCGGCCGGGTTGTGGTAGTCGAGCGCCGTCAGTTTCCGCCGGAACATGGCGCTGCTCTCTAGGCGAGAGTCTTTCGAGCCGAGACGACGTCTAATCAAGGAGCGTTTCAATCACCAACAAACGGCTAGAGGAGACTTGAGAAAGAAAGAGCGCCTGCGCGACTCGGTTACGGGAACTAGAGGGAGAGTTGGCAGTAGCCAATCATTGTTTTTCAAGGACGCGCGTCACGGCTGGTGAGCGGGACTAACACGATGGGAGAAAAAGAGAGGAAATGATTGGTAAACGGTTTGACTGACCACAGCAGGAGCCAGTGAAGATGGAAGACCTAGTCTTTGGACAGGAAGGGAAAGGAGATTTTTAAAACTAGGATTTTCAAGGCTTGTTTCCGTTCTTAGGGTAGCTTTTGTTTCGCTCCCGAATTGTCCTTGCAGAATTTTCATCTCAGCTATGATTAGAGCCCGGTACGCCATCTCCTTTCTTGCAAAGAAAAGGGCAACTCGAAAAAAGAAATCCCCGCCCAGGGAAGGGCAGATGCGGGGAGCAAAAAAACATCAGTAGTGGATTATCTGTGTCTTGTTCGAAATGTGCATCAACAAGTGTTTCTCAAACTTGGCTACTTTTAAGACATGTGGACTTCAACTTCCAGAATGCAAGCTGGCTAGGGAATTCTGGGAATTGAAGTCCCCATGTCTTAACGTTTGAACGCTTGTTAATGCATGGGGATGAATTGTTTTAAGAAATGTAATAGGTTATAATTCAGGGGAATGAAGGGAGTTATAACAATATGAACAAGTATGGGTGTTAGTTGATGATCCTATTTTTTGCTTGCTGAATTTTCTTGTAAAGATGAGGGTGATTTCACTATGTTATGTTTCCTTTGGATAATTTTTAAAAGCTAAGCTGGATCAAACGTCCCAAAACTTAAACTATGTTACAAAGGTTTTTAATTGTTTCTTGGCCTTTATTTAGTTAAACAATACAGAACAAAGAAACAAGCAAAATAACTTACATATACATAATGTAAACATACACTGAGGGCTTTTCATACCTGTATTTTCTTCTTAGTGCTTATCTTGCTTAGTTGCAGGGTTCACTTTTTATACTGTGCTTATCTAATTTTTATAGCAAATCCTATCAGTCATGATGCAGGGAGGGTTTTTGTGTTTTCACAGCAGCCTTGCTGCAGACCTGATGCTAATTGAACGGAAGAAAAAATTGAACGATTGAACGGAAGAAAAAAAAAAACTAGATCTAGAGCTTGTTTCGATTGGTGTTATTGCAATTTTTTAAATTAATTGTACAGAATGTTAAATGTACTAAATTTGGTTTAGTATGAGTTAAACCACTTTATTTGGGGCTTTGTAATTGTATGCAATCAACTCACTATACTTTGTTAATTTTTGTGAATTTAATCACTGGATTTTATTTTCATATGTATATGATCCTGCAAAATAATTTACAAGTATTATAATAGCAGAAGTGTTATTTTGTTTTCTAATTTCTCACCAAAATTACTTATTAATTATTCCTATTCTGGTCAGCTAAATGGTGGTAAAGATGTATTCTATATAATAATGCAAATTAGAACATTCAGTAAAATACCAAGAACTTAAAGCAACACAAAATGAATTAGAACACTGTATTACAGAAGAAATGCAAAAAAATGAAATTAATATTACAGTTACGTGCTATCAGATCAGCTTATTTTTAAGTGATGACAAAGATAGATTTTCTTCATGATGATCTGTCCCTAACCTGGTCCTTCAAGTCTTCCAATGGTGCATCAGTTGCTACTGTAACTAAGTCCATCCATTTTTGCTGGTGGTCAGCATCTTTCCCCAGCATTAGAGCCTTTTCTAAAAAGCTAGGTCTTTGCATAATGTATCCAAAGCACAATAATTGAGCCTGATCAGCTGTGTCTTGAATCAGCTCTGGGTTGATTTGTTTCATGATCCATCAGTTTGTTTTCTTGGCTGTGCATTGTATTCTCAGGAGTCTTCTGCAACATCAAAAGAGTCAATACTCTTTCTATCCTGCTTCCTTTAAGTCCAACTTCTGCTTCCATAAAGTATCACAAGGAATACCAATTGTATCAGAGTATTTAATATCTTTCCTAAAGCCTTCATGGCTGCTCTACCAAGTACTAGTCTGTGGAATATTTCTTGACTGGTTATTCCTTTATTGTTGATGGTTGATCCTAGAAGGTAGAACCCACCCTCCACTTTGGTACCTTCATTGTCATTTCTAAGAGTGGCAGCTGTGCCAGTTATCATTAGATTGGTTTTCTTGTTATTTAATTTTACTCCCAATTTTTCACTGTGCTTGACTTTTATAATCATAGCTTGCAGAAGCTTGCATCTTTGGATATTAAAGTAGTATCATACTGGGATCAATGATGGGAGTTCACCATATTTTAATTGGGTTTTTAGTTTTTACTTGGTATATGTACTCAGCTATGGTTGTTGATAATTCATGATATATACGAACTTAGGTAATTGTAATGTCACATGAACTAAAGATTATGAAGACATTTTAAATTTCTACTGCTCACCAACATTAACTATTAATCCTCCCCCCGGTAACATTTTTTGCCTTATCCACATTGCTGGTAGCCTTTGGGTTGCAAAGAAGATACCTGGAGGGGGGCAGAAATCTCTCCCCCCCCACTAAACAGAAAACCCCCATGATTTACACATCACCATTATTGGTTTGGATGTCATGTTAATAGAATAACAGAGTTAAAGGGACTTTGGAGGTCTTCTACTCCAACCCCTTGCTCAGGCAGGAAACCTTATACCATTTCAGACATATGTCCAATCTCTTCTTAAAAACTTCCAGTGTTGGAGCATTCACAACTGTTGGAGGCGGGGAAGAGGGGGCTGCAGTAGCATCATGGGGCAGTCCAGGAGGTGGAGCTAGCAGTGCAGGTGGATGCACTGAATGCACCTGAAAAAGGCAGCACTGTCAATCCCTGGGCCAGTCACTTTCCTGGCCATGGCCAGAATAACAGAGTTGGAAGGGACCTTGGAGGTCTTCTAGTCTAACCCCCTGCTCAGGCAGGAAACCCTGTACCATTTCAGACAAATGGTTGTCCAATCTCTTCTTTAAAACCTCCAGTGTTGGAGTACCCACAACTTCTGAGGGCAAGCCATTTCACTGATTAATTGTTCTCATTGTCAGGAAGTTTCTCCTTAGTTCTAGGTTGGTTTTCTCCTTGATTAGTCCATCCACTGCTTCTTGTCCTGCCTTTTCCCGTTTTGGAGAATAGGCTGCCCCCCTCTGCTTTGTGGCAGCCCCTTAGATACTGGAACACCGTTATGTTAAGTCAAAGTGAAGTCGTACTATGTATTTTGTGTACACAAGACATTATAAATCATAGTTTAGAGCTTAGTGTAATGCCTGAACCAGGAGGACCATAGCAGCCAGGCCTCCCACACCCTGACACATGCCTTCCCTGGCCAGCCCACTTCTGCGGCCGCTCACTGTGCCCCTGGCCTCCGTTTCGCCGTCAGAGGCTTCAGGAAAGGCCTCTGCAGCTGATAAACAAGCTCTGGATTGATGCGTGTGGTGCCCCCTGGCCTCCGTTTCGTTGTTAGAAGCCGAAATGGAGGCCGAGAGGTGCTGTGCGCATCAATCTGGAGTTCGTTTATCAGCTGCAGAGGCCTTTTCTGAATGCCTCTGATGGCGAAACCAAGGCTGAGGGCAACGTATGCAAGAGCCGCAGAAGAAGTGGACCAGCATGGGAGGCCTGGCCGCAACTGTCCTAAGGTAAGTGGGTCCGTGGCACGTGGGGCAGCTTCATCTCCCATCCACACCCTAGCTTGATTTATACCCGTGCGTCTCACCCCACCTCGTTCAACCAGGTGCAACGGAGTGGGCGGGGTCTTAAGTAGGGATTATATTTGGGGTAGGGCTTATATTGGGCACATGTGTAAAAATCAAGCTAGGGCTTATTTTCGAGGTAGGTCTTATTTTCAGGGAAACAGTAATTGCTGTGAGTTCTTGATTGGCATTTACCCAAATTGTCCACTAGAGGGCTTTTCAAGAAGTTTGCAATTTTAGATAGATCTATGTTCCAGTTATGCGAAGTAGTAGTGTCACAGCAAGGCATTAATTTATATAGGAAGTGCACAGCAACCATCTTCCTTGAAGATCTTGCTTTGTATGTGATCAGAAGAAAGTTGCTGACCATGTGTGCTTAGATTAATCAGATACAGAATGATTTATCCAGGCCCTATGGTATGACCAGATTTTTCCGTTTTTATAGGCAGGCAGGGTTGGCTGAGGCATGCATTCTAAGTACAGCTTTTGGTTTCCAGAATGACAGAGCAGGGGCAAGTGAGCAGACATTCTCCAAATAACTGGATTTCAGCTCCTCTCATCAGCTGGCCAACTTGAAAAGAGATGATATGAAGTACAGTCAGAAACAGCAACTTGCCTACTCTGGATTTAGGGTTTCAGAGGGGAATTTAAGTCTGCCTTTAAGTAACTATCCACATTAACAGCAGATTAGTTAGTAGGAAAAACTTTAAATCACGTACAACATAATCCATCACTTTGAAAAGAGATTGGGGGGTGGGAAGAAGGAAATCCCAAGAAAGTCCAAGACATTGCATAGCCCCCTCCATACCCTGCAATTTATCTGAATGTGTGTCTGGGAGATTTTGAACTTCTTTTTCAGTGGACTAATGTCAAAAAAATGCATGTTTACTACAGTATATCTGATAGCATACAAATTAGGCTCTTTTTCATTAGAAGTAGCTTTTTCATCAGAATTTTTCTCTAAGTAGCTGAAAGTAATAAAACATTTACTCCTACAGTAAAAAATATAGGATGTCAAACGCCATGAAATATTGTAGGCGGCATCTGCCTCTTTTGTCCTCCATGTCTGAGTGATATTCCAGAGGGCTTTTTCTCAACCTGCCAGACATTTCCTACTATAATGTACTGTTATAGTAAACTGTGCAAGATGTTACACAATATGGCAAGAACTTTAGTTCTTAACTGGACCCTAGCACTACATTATAACTAGTCAGTCTGTGCTGCTCCAGATGTATTGCCATATATTTTACATCACATCTGAGATGGTTTGGGAAGGTTATTCAAAGTAATGCATAAGTTTCAAGAAAAGATCTGAAGTAAAGATCTAGCTTGGTTCTGGAAGATTCTGTTTCTATAATATACCACCCCAGAGTTTACTGATTTAAATGGATTAACATAACACATTAGACCATTAAATATACTGACTTCTTGCAAATATTGGCTGCATTTACACATTAGCTTAGTTATTCAATCAATCAAGTTTTAGAAATTCAAATAAGCTAGCCAAATGGGCTGGCTTAGCACAACCTGCAGTGCCACAAAAACAAAACTAACCAAGGTTAACATTAATAAAACTTGCTATATTTGCAAATGAAACTGCTAGTTACCTGATCTGGCTAAGATTGTTGTGTTAACACACATGAACTGGTCAATCACATTTTAACGTGGTATAGTGTGTGATCATTCTAATTGTATTGATAGACTGAATTCGCACAACACGTAAATATAAAAATAATGTATAATTTGTTTGGTTTTGCCTTATTGTATGAATCCTAATATTGTAATTTGTAAACCATGGCTTATGTAAATTCAAACAGTTGGCTCATCTAACAAACCATGGCTAAAACAGACCCAGCATAGAGTCCTAACCTTGACTTAAGACACTTTTAAGGTCTGAAATGGAATGAGAGATCCCAAGGTAGCATCATTGTCCTCTGCCACTTTGTCTAGGTAGGTTTTCTGACTGGTGGCTCAGTGGTTAGAATGCAGTATTGCAGGCTGCCCACAGCCTAGAGTTCGATCCAGATGGGCTCAAGGTTGACTCAGCCTTCCATCCTTCCAAGGTCAGTAAAATGAGGACCCAGATTGTTGGGGGCTACATGCTGACTCTATAAACCGCTCAGAAAGGGCTGTAGAGTGGTATGCAAGTCTAAGTGTTGGCTGTTTTTCTGTGATTGTTGATTAACCTGCATTTTTGGAGGTATATTTTATTTTGCATTTTATATAATATTGGATATTGTGTTTGTGTATGTGTGTGTGTGTATATATATATATAATTATTTCTGGATTTTTTATTTATTCCTACTGTAATAAAACATTAAGTGTACATTACCCTGAGAAGATTCTATCATGTTAGTTAAGTGGTTGTTTAATGCCCAAAATTAAACTGAAGTATATCTCACTAATCAAGGCCTAAAAGCATATGTGTCAATTTTGCATTTTGCTCAAGCTTGTCACAAGGCAAGGTATGGATTTTACAGAAGACCAAGGACGAAACCAGATTAAATCCCATTTGACTAACCAGCAGCCATCATTTGCACAATAATGCAAGAAACAGCAGAGAATTAGGTTACAGCTTCTCCTCTGGGAAACCAGCCCCACTGAAAGGTCAATGATCTCCTCACTAAATCAGTGNCGGTGAATGCTCCAACACTAGAAGTTTTTAAGAAGAGACTGGACAGCCATTTGTCTGAAATGGTATAGGGTTTCCTGCCTGAGCAGGGGGTTGGACTAGATGACCTCCAAGGTCCCTTCCAACTTTATTATTATTATTATTATTATTATTATTATTATTATTATTATTATTATTATTATTATTATTATTATTATTATTACTACTACTACTACTACTAATACTAATACTAATACTATGTACCTGGTACAGACAAGAAATGTGTTTTGTGTAAAGACATCCTGTCAGAACATTTGGCCAAACACTACCAAACATAAGGGGACCTTAAAGCAGTGTTTCTCAACCTCAGCAACTTTTAAGATGTGTAGACTTCAACCTCCAGAATTCCCCAATCAGCATGCTGGTTGGGAAATGGTGGGAGTTGGAAATCCACACATCTTAAAGTTACTCAGGCTGCTTTAAAGCAGAGATCAGAACCCCAGCTCCGAGTGTTGCTCATCTTTAGCCATGTTGGCTGGAACTTTTAAAAGCTGTAGTTGAGTGGCATCTAGAAAATTAAAGACATAACTCTACTGTATATTTTTGCTCACAAAGAATCATACAATAGAAAGGGCCAATTGAGACCCACCTGTTATTTAATACAGAAATCAAACTTAAAGCATTCCCAATAGAAGGTAGTTTAACCTCCACATGTCTGGATAATTGATTGATTCTTCTGTCAAATTTCTCTTATAATTTCATTCTTCAATTCCTGAACATATGCTGGTCACAGAACAAATTGAATTACAACCCTTTTTAAGCTTAGTACATTGTGTGAACCTATCTATCTTGTTAGTTTTACATCAGTATACTTTATTATCTCAGATGAACCCAGAACATTAACTGAATAAACCAGTTAACCCCAGGTAATCATATCATACGAACCCAGACAATAACTGGATTTCTCTAAGCTATTATTTAAGCCTTGTATTGAAAAAAAACATATTGGTTGTGCTCTGAACAATAAACCATAAATCATGGTTTACCACCAAAACAAATCTGTTTTAAGGTTGAAATTTGCTCACTCTTGGCTTATTAGCAGAAAACATTGGAAAATAAGGTGAAGAGAACAGTTTGATCTAGTGGTTAAGGCACCAGACTAAAAACTGGGAAACTCTGAGTTCTAGTTCCGTCTTAGGCATGAAAGCTGGCTTGGTGACTTTGAGCTAGTCACTCACTCTTAGCCCAACACAACTCACAGGGCTGTTGTTGTTTTGGGAAAATAGGAGGAGAGGAAGGAGTATTAGGTATGTTCACTGTATTGAGAGATTTATAAAAATAATAAAGGGGGGGATACAAAAATAAAAAACCCGCAGAATCCAATACAACATACATTTTACTAGCAGAACAAAAGCTACCAAATACAAATGTTAGAAAACAGCAATACTAAGTATGCTAGGAATGCACAAGACAGCCCGTAGGCTTGTGAAAAGCAAGGAGACGGTCTCAACTAAACCTTTGATAAAATGTTTAGACTGACAGGCTACTGCAATTGGATCCCTGCCCACCCCGCCCCCTCGTGTGGCACTACTCTAAAATGCTAAATACACACAATACTCCACACTAAGGAACGTTAGAATAAATTGAACCCATTGCAATTATTTTACATTTCAACATAAATAAGAGTGACATTTGGGGAAAGCAAAACAAAATAATCGAGGTTACATACACATACCCCATTGCATCATTTGCAACCTTGCTCTGCGCACCCTCATTTTTGTTTCAGAGAAAGACAACAGGGTTTGGTTTGGCTAGAGCAAAAGTGAAAATTAAATGTACTCTTTTACACATTTCCCCCCTCCCTCCTCCTCCTCCAGGCAACTCTGCAGATGTCAAGATCTTTAGCTTCTTGATGTAGGTCAACATCGTTATTAACTCGTTCTCCAAAGAAGGCAGGAATTCACTTTTTTTTTATCATGCACTTCTCTGTAAACTTTCAGGTGGTTTGATATATTTTTCTTAAAGTAAGTGGACTCTAGAAACTGGTCCACGTTGCTGAAAAATCTCTACATCAGTGTCCAGGGCAGCCCAAATTGGAGTCAGGCTCCTGTGAGGTTTACAGAATGGCACAGAAGAACTTCTTCTCTCTAAATGGATTTTCTGAAGCAGGGACAGGAGTTAATAAGGGGTCTTCCTTGGCATGGGCTTCACAGTACGCCATCAGGTCTGCTGCAGCTTTGGATACCTGCAAATAAAAAGAGGGTTTATATTCTTTTGGTATTCCACAGTAGCTGTTCTTAAATTGCAAAGATGTGCAGCCAATTGGCCAAGGAAACGCCAAATAAACTGAAGAGTCCTTGGTGGTCTCTGAGCTTGATTGTTTTCGTGCAGACTTCATTAACCAAATTACAGCACTGCAGAGCACTGATGATGTTACCTAGTTTGGGTAATGAAACATCTGCAAGAAAACAACCAAGCTCAGAGATCACTAAGGACCCCACAATTCAACCCTGAGCTACAAATATTCTCCTTTATTAGTGCCAAACACATTCTTAGAAGAAAGACTAGCTGAAGTTCATTTTGCTAAACCTTGTTGTAGTATGCCTTGTTTTAGCTTAGTTATCTTGCACAAACTCATTTCTTTAAACCCATCTCAATCTCCACATATCTTGCAATATCAGGATCCTTCGGTTTTTTACCCCAACAACCTATGCTTACCAGGCAACCAATGTTAAACTACAATATGGTTTCTGGCGACATGGTGCTATGGGAACTCAACCATGGCTCATTAGCACAGATTTGTGATTTAGCATGTGAGAATTTTATCACCAAGTGACTCACACAGGAAAAGCTATTCAATAGTGTCTTGCTCAAGTTAGGAAATTCAACTTTTAGATGCTGAACTCTAATGTCTCATCCAAGTGAAGAGGTTGAGTTTACACACTTTTAAGTTTTCTGCACAAAATGAAAATGACCTTTTGTGCCAACAGGATCTACGACGATGTCAAGCATTTATGTGTCACAAGCTCAGTGGTGGGATTCAAATACCTGAACAACTGGTTCTCTGCGTGGATGCCTCTTCCGGAAGTCCATTTTGGGTCTGGGCCTCTGAGGCCCAGAATGGACTTCTGGAAGCGGTGTTCACGCACTTCCGGTAGGCTGTTCTGGGCCTGGGAGGCTTCCCAGGCTCAGAACAGAGTTCCGGAAGTGGCATTTACACACTTCTGGTAGTCCATTCTGGGCCTTGCGAAAAAGGGCTAGGGCTTCAGCCAATTCGCCAAAGTCAACAAAAAACTAGCTACCAGTTCTACCGAACCGATGCGAACCAGCTGAATGCCACGACTGCACAAGCTGCCTTTTTTTCAAAAAGGCAAATACATTCCCTTATATTGGCATGTCATCTGCTACAAAGATCATTAAAAGCAACCTCTCCTTTTTCAGGAGAGAAAGATATTAAAAATCGTCTCTCATTTTATTTCATATTAATGTCAAGGGAAATAGCCCATCTCAATCCCATCTCTAGGCCCCAGGTTCCCTGCTCTTGCAAATGAATCAATGGATTAAACTCAAGGGACTGTGTATCCTAAAGCTAGTCCCAAATCCCATATTGTTCTTGGCATATGCTACAGGAGGGGGAGTCTGATTGTGGATTTATTCCTCTGCCACTAAAGAGCAATGAAAAAATCACTGAAGGTGCTTAGCTGAGATGTTGGTAAGCTGTCAGAAAGTGATGACCATCTGAGCTGCTTCCCCTAGAGCAGACCTGTCAAACTCGTGATGTCATGTGACATCGCGCGACATATCGGAACTTTTTCTCCATTGCCGGCAATGGGGTGGGCGCAGTTTCCTGGTGACGTGTCCGGCCCGCGGGCCGGCAGTTTCACACCCCTGCCCTAGAGAGGCAGACCAGAAGTCTTGGCAAAGCAAATGCAAGCTGCAAGCAACCAAATCAATATGTGTTGGGTTCAAGCTGACTACTTTATCATATTCTGCCTGTAATGCAGGAATCTCCCTAGATTGCTTGCCTTCTTGGGGAACAAACAGATAAAGTCCCAGGGAACCTAGAGGGAATCAGCCCTGGGTCTCTCGTGGCTGCAGTTTTCAAACAGCAAAACTCTTGGGATCAAAGGCTTGAGGTTCAGGGACATTTGCAGAGTATCAAAAGGGATCAAGTCTTGCCCTTTTTTTATGTGCATGGTATGTGATGTGTGTAAATAAATGGCAGGTTCAATTGTGTTGTCATGGCTGCCATTTTGACAGCTCTCCATGGATGCTCTTTTGGGGCTTCAGAGGAGAGCAGGTAGAGGCAAGGCTGGCTGGAGCAGAGTCATGGCTGACCACATTGACAGGGGAATGATAAATGGGAAGAGAAGTCAAAAGAGGGATGTTCTGAAGGAGCAAATGGAAAGACACTGAAGGAACTGAAGGGCCAAGTGGTTGTAGCTGTGAGCAATCTATATGGACTATGTTGAGCCTAGCACAATTTTTTCTTGGCGGGCTCACAATCCTGAAGGTGACTGCATTTCCCTGCAAGTTGTGGGCAACTGTTCCTCCCAGAAGAAACACACACCTCTCTCATCCCCCCTTCAGAGCCCAACACTGATTTTCTTAAATCTTAAGCATTTCCCACCAGTGCTTAAACAATTGCTTTTCATTGATCCAGGTGACTTAGCCCTGATCATGGCAATCTTGAGGAGAGACTGGTGCTACATTCAGAAGTGCAGCAATTTACCCTACTCTAAATTTAAAATGCCGATATAATCTTAGGAGGTTTATGTTTGGGAGACTCCCCCTCCCTCCCCCACCAAAAAAAGAGCATACACCATTTCCCAGATCAAGTGCTGTCGGTTGCAGCTTGGACTGATGCTTTTGTGTGCAAGTGGCAGGTTTTTCATACGCAAGGTGCTTCTAGCCCTCTTTACAAAGACACCGAGCTTCGCTGGTGAGGCTTGCAGTTGCCATAGTAACTGATGGAGAAGAGAGTGAGATTGTACAATCTGGAGCTTTGCATGTGAGGCTAACTATATCAAACCTCAGGGCTAGACTCTTGCAGATTCCAGTCATAGCTATGAGGGGAGGTTGCATCAAAAAGATTAACGTTCCAGACAATGATAAGTGAGATTCCTCTCTGACTTAGAGATAGAAAGTATGGGGGGGAAATTTCAAGATTTCCAGATTAGGGGTGTATATGGAAAAGTTCCTACACTCTGATGGAGAATATAATTCCCTTCTTTTTTTACTTCTTTTATGCAAGAAGTGAAATCCACATAGCTGGTCTGCCTGTCCAATGGAGAGCCTACCATGAACCTCAACATCACCTGGACCAGTAGTGGCGAACCTATGGCACAGGTGCCAGAGGTGGCACTCAGAGCCCTCTCTGTGGGCACGCACACCATCACCCCAGTCCTAGGCCTTTAGCTGGGTTTTATAAAACCTTTTCGCTTTAGGCCTCCACTGCCGTGTGCAAAAAAAAAAAAGGTCCAATCAATCAGTCAATTTCAACTTCTCACAGGAAAAAAAAGATCTTGCAAAGTTGGAATTGATTGAACTTTTTAGTCCCACCCAGTCTGCCGTTATTACCGCAGCCACGCCCAGCCAATGGGCCATACCCAACCGGCACCTGATGATGCATAAGTGGGTTTTGGGTTGCAGTTTGGGCACTTGGTCTCTAAAAGGTTCGCCATCACTGACCTGGACTGTCTCCCCACTTGCTATGAGTAACAAACAAACTCTGAAAAAAGCCCACTTTAATCCACAGCCACAAAATATTTTCCTATTATTTTTGAAATGCTGCCATTTATCCCCCATGGTTTAAGGATAGAGTGTGAGAAACCTGGAGGCACATCCCTTTGCTCACAATGAAGAGGTGCCAAATTGCTATGCCCACAAACATTTCTTCATGATGTGAACGTCTGGGGACCTGGTTTTAGGTCCACGTAAATGTATAAGGGTGTAACTGCTGTGCATGAAAAAGTAAGAGTGCAGATGGCCAATGTGAATAATTATAAGGGTAAAGGTATCCTCTATCCATTCAAGTCTGACTCTAGGGGGCAGAACTCATTTCCATTTCCTAGCCGAGGGAGCCAGCGTTGTCCAAAGATACTTCCGTGATCGTGTGGCCAGCGTGACTGTAAGCTGAAGCACACCGAATGCCGTTACCTTCCCACCAAAGTGGTACTTACTTACCTACTCGCATTTGCATGCTTTCGAACTGCTAGGTAGGCAGGGGCAAGTAATGGAAGCTCACTCTGTTGCACAGCACCTGGGCATTGAACCCGGGCTTGCCAGATGACAAGCTCAGAGTCTTTAACCACTGAGCCATTGCGCCTCTCATGAATGGATATGAGGATGCTCTCTTTTACATGCATGTTTATGCACATGGACAGATGAACTTTCTCCATTCTACTCCATCTCACCCAACTCCCAGGATGCCCTAATTAATGTGGTGATTACTGACCTGGGAGGCACTTAGGTTGAGGATGGCTGACATCTTTCTTTATGGTGACTAGCAATTCCAGAAGATGCAGTTACACTATAACAGGAGAGTATCAGGTTTGGAAAGCTTGGTCAATAACCTATTTCTAATACTATCTAAGGAGGAAGAATCAATTTCTAGGCAGCTTCTCTAGGATATCATGCCTCTTCACCTCATTTAGAACTTTAAAGGTCAAAATAGCATGCTGAATTTGGCCCCAAACCCAACAAACACATGGTGCAGATTTCTTACAATTGATGTAAAGGAAAAGGCTTCCATCTGTATATATTTATTAATAGTTTGGTGTATGCAGCTGACACTAGCTGGATAGTCATACATTGAATTACCAGAGCATCTGCCACCATAGATAGAGGATTCCTGTCCAGAGATGGTATAAGAAAGAAAGGTAGCCACTAAGGTTATAGACATTGCTTGACCAAGGACTAACCCCTCCTAAGCTATACCAAGAAGGGATCCCAAGGCCTCTGATGGAAGGGCATATTACTAGCCCTCAGCTATACACATGAACTTTTAGGAGCAGTACAGTCATACCTAGGACAGAATGTATCCCACATTTCTAGGCATGTAAACTATCCAATTATATACATTTTCAATGTATTGGTTTCTATTCAGGTTGAGTCCAGAGGGTAGTCCAGAATGGATTAATAGCCTGATATCTGCTAGATGTTTTGGGTTTCATATACAACTGCCTTTTAGGCATAGTTGAAATGTTTGGCAGGCATCCAATCGTCTATTCTTTATCCAATACCTGCACGGTTAAATTTGATTCAGTTTATTTCCTAGCATCTTCCTGCAAGTGAAGGCTCCACTTTTTTCAGATTAGCTCAAGTGTTGATCCATTGATTATGACAGGAATTGCCACCTGAGCCTGATGCTGTGAGCTGACAGGAGTAACTGGTCCAAAGTCACCCAGCCGACTTTCACGCCTAAGGCAGGACTAGAATTCACAGTCATTTGTTTCTAGCCTGGTGCCTTAACTACTAACTAGACCCAACTGGCTTTCATTCATTTGGCTCAGATGACAGAGATAAGTACAGCCGGGTGCCAGCCACAGATTGAGGATGCTTCACTTCGAATTTTCCAATGAGCTCATCCAGCAACTTCATACTGATATGAAAAGACATAAAGGTGAAAAACCTGCAGGACCTTATTTCACAAGTGCTATGGTGACAAATAGAATTATCACCCCAAATGCTATCTTTAGGGATTCATCCCATAGATAACTGGTGGAACCATCACATCTCTATGCCTTGATTCCACAAAATGTGTGGCCAGCAGTATCAAAAGACACTGCAAAATCAAAGCAAATTCCAGTCCACTCTCTCAACTGAGGCCATCTATAGAACATCCAAGGTAATTTCAATGTTAAAATTGAGATCAAAACATCTTGGGATTACTTAATTTATCCCAAAGCTCTTGCCGCTGACTCACCAGTATGCTTTCAATACTTTGTGCAAATAAGTTTATTACGGCAATACATTTTTTTCTCACATGAAAATATCCTTTATAAACTTTTCTCAATACAGATAGTTCTTGGCTTATGACCACAGTTGGGACCAGAATTCCATTGTTAAGCAATGCCATCATTAAGTGAATCACTGAGGTCGTTAAACGAATCATGTGGTTGTTAGATGAAGCTGACTCCCCTCACTGGGTTGGAAGCTTCCTGAAAAAAATGACAAATGACCTGGGACACTGTAACCATTGCAAATATTTGCAGATTGCCAAGTGCCCAAATTTTGATACTGTGACTGCAGAGACGCTGCAATGGTTGTAAATGTCAGGACTAGTTGTAAGTCGCTTTTTTGTCATAACTGAGTGGTTGTTAAACAAATTGTTGTAAGTCAAGAACCAAATAATGGGAGTGCCCTCTGGAGAAGATACTAAGGGGGTACACCAATACCTCTGAAGCGCATCAGTTTGTGCAAGACCTCTTTAGAATAATCCCAGCCCAAAGTTACATTAGAGTGCTAAATAATCTTTACCTTTATTCTGTCGATATTTGCCTCCATTTTGAGCTGTTCCACCTGCTTCCTTGCTTGTGCTATGCTGGTGGTGTTGTTGCTGGCCATCAGAGCCTTTCTTGGGTGGAGATGCTGGTTCCGACCTCTTCAAATGCACTGGCAAATAAGAGAGAACAAATTAAGGTGATCCATCAGGGAACTAATAAACTGCCAGGCTTGCAAGCCTAGTTACAGGGATAGGGAATCTAATAAAGGAAATGGTGCATAATAATCCTTCAAAAGCTAGAGTTTCACTGGCACTGAGATCTCAACCCATTTTCTGTGTATTAGATTTTTCTTCACGTTATCTTAGCCATTTTAGAAGATTGTAAGGAATGCTATGGAGGATTTTGTAAGGACTGATTGAGAAGCCTTTTTTTGGAGGAGAGAATGTATTTGAGGAGAACAGGTATCTTCATGCAGATTCCATTGAAGCCAATTCCTCCTCCCCCCCCCAAAAAAAGTTTGAGAGTTGACAGAAGAGGATGGAACTCTGTTGTTCCTTATAGAAGTTCAGCATCAGATAGAGGTTTGGAAAAAGCTACTGTACCTCATTCAGCAGAAGTACAAATCTTCTTTGTACTTTTACAGCTTTATGGCAAGAATAAGCATTCTTGAGGGTACACAAGAACAAAATCAAATTAAAAGATGGGGGAAGGAGACCATCGAGCAAGGAATAACATTAAAAGAGAATGTGGCTGAAGGATCTCACCTCCCATATACTACTCGGTGGACCCTGAATAAATTGAGTTAGAGTGCCTAAATGTAAAACTAAATGGAGCTCTTAGAAGATAACAACATACTACATGAATGTAGAGAGACACAGAGCCCAGCCCATCGGGTATGTCGGCTACTACCAAAAACATGTACCAGTAATGACTTATTTTTAGCCAACAACAAAGCCAAGAAATTGGCTTCATTTTGGCAGTTTAAAATTTGATCTAGAAGAAGCAGAAGTGTTCCAGATGTTAGTGGTTCATGGTGTTCCAGATGTTAGTGATTTCCAGCAGGCCCTGCCAATGTGATCAACACTAAAACACATCTGGACAGCTGCAAGTTCTGTTCATCAAGTAAAATATTTTTCTGTCTTTTGGTACCTTTTAAATTTCAGTTAATATATTGTTCCAACCTACGGATATATAATGTACAGTTATCAGCTATGCAATAAAACATATGCAGGGGTCCCCAATCCCCGATCCGTGGACCAGTACCGGGCTGCGGTATGCCAGCAACTGGTCCGCACAAACAAACAAAGCCCCATCCATGGGATGCAGGCAGCACACGAAACCACGCCCCCTCCAGTCCATGGAAAAACCTCTTTCCACAGAACCAGTCCCTGGTGCCGAAAAGGTTGGGGACCTCTGCTTTAATGAACTAAATGCAAAATTGTATAAAGTTAAGTTAATAATTATAAAAATTATTACAAGAGTAAAATCATTATTTTCATTAGGCAATAAGAGTTTATGCCAAGTTGCACAGGATAGCCATGTTCCATGTTTTCCTTAACAATTAAATTTTATGGGATTTCAGCCAGAACACTTTTCTTCTGTATTCAGTACAATACATGCAGCAGATAATATGGGCAATAAAACAGATAATGAGAGATATTCTCTAAACTGCCAGCCAGACAGGGACTGTGTATTGGAAGTGCGAGATTTTAAACAACTGGCTGTCACCTACAGACATTTGTACCTGTCATCTTGTTAATGCTAACGAGAAGGAAAGGTAACAATAATGCATTTCAAATATTGCTCACAATCTCAGTTTTAATAACTGAACAGCAAGAAGAACTTTACTGTTGGCAATTGAACTCAAATCAGCTTGGGCAATAGTATCAAATATCCTGTTTTTAAATGTCTGTGGAGGGGTCAAGATGTTCCTAGATGAAAAACAGCTGGGGAATCTCCACTGCTATGAATGAGGCTCCTCAGCATCCTGAACCAAAATAGACTATTCATTGGAACCTTCTCCACAGATACTATAGTGTGCTTTATTTCATTTGGCTAAGTGTTGCATGTCATTGTGAAAAAGCACACTCCCTGGTTTAGTATTTGTGCAAACTATGACAATTGAACCTTCATTTTTTTTCTTCTGTTCAATTGTGCCCATTTCTCAGAGACCAAATGGACAAGTCCCTGCCATTTTCTTGATAAGGTTTTCAGAACTGGTTTGTCATTGCCTCCTTCCTAGGGCTGACTTAGTGGCTTTGTGCCCAAGGCAGGACTAGAATTCACAGTCTCCCGGTTTCTAGCCTGATGCCTTAAAATTGTCAAGGTTGAGAAACACTGCAAACCACTACACCAAACTGACTCTCATTGTCTTCATCACCTTTATTAGTTTACCTTCATCAGTAAGCTCTAATAATTACCTTATATTAATTATATAATTATAATTGCCTTCATTTGTAAGCTACAATTAAGGAAACTTTGACTTTGCCCATTGTATGAACCCAATCATGTCTAACACTGCATAATGAGCAAAGTTTCAGCTTTGAATAAAGAATTTCTGAGACCTTTCCAGTCATCTGAAACCTTCAACAGAAGCTATTTCCTGTATCTAACTTAATTATTGAATTAACTCTTTCCTGGTTTCATATATCATTTAAATGGCTGGATTTGCACAACATACTTCACCCCATATACACAAACCCAACCAATGTTAATACTACCAAAGCTTTGCAAATTGTCCAAATATACCTATTAGATCTTGATTAGACCTGGTTAAGAAAATATTGCAAATACAAAATGGAAGACACTGGTTCAGTTTCAACACATGTATTAATAGTGAAAGCACTGCTAGGCACATCTTCAGAAAGAGAACAAATGCAGACAACAGGACTGTTTTTCCAAGATTGCAAGCTTTACATGCACAAATAGATAAGAACAGTCACAAACCATAGGCCATTAAGACGACAAAATTGTAGACCCGGACATTTGCAGGAACAATAATCTCCAAAACTCTTCTTCCATGTTCCCAAACTCACCTATTTACTGGATTTTCAGGGACCTATCCTTATTATAATACCAGTTGCCATTCCATTCAAACCCTTCAAACTCTGATCTATTTGTAACACTCTACTCATCACTACCGTCACACTGATGACAAGTGCAAGTATTTAAGTCTTAATCTCTTGCAGCCACTTCTTCCAGGTGGAAACTCAATAGATGCAGCTTCATGTCATCCATTGACGGTAATAATCTGTTTGAATGTAACAATCCTTTCAGGTTTTTCTTTTTAAAAGCTCTACATATTTTTATTTTGTCAGGTTATGTATTTCTAAAAAACAACTACTTTTTCTAACTCCATGTAAGTTATTTGGTCATCCTCATTTTTTATTCCTAATAGCAAAATATCCTGAAATGTCATCCACAAGATTTCTTGAAACCACAAGCACACTGGTTTGAACTTTTTTTTTTTTTGCTTTGGAACTTTGTGGTTAATTACAGCCAAGTTGCTACCTCACCTATTTTTAATTATGTTACTTTCACATGACACATTCACTCATAGTTAACTGAATCATGGTTGATTCAATTATCCAAATTTTCTATTTACATGACACACTAAAGAGCAAACTAACCACAGTTTATAGCTCAATGAATTGTGTAGGCTAAACAGTGAGGTCTGGAGAACTTGAATACTTGCATAAATTTTTGATTTGTGATATAATAGAGTTCTTCTCCAATCTGATGCCTCCAGACATGTGATTTTAAATGATCCACGATTGTCCCTACCGCTTCAGAAAGTTTTATCTTCTAGAAAATGAGATTTTTTTTCCTTTCATTTGGGAACTTTATGTTCTCTCCCTCTCATTCTATAATGCACCTCTAGGCTAGATAGCTCATTACATTGTAATCTCTCAATGCGATTTTCTTTTTCAAAATACCTGGCAATTGAGAATGCAGTTTTGCTTTACTCCCCTTTCTCTCACCACAGACAAAGGGGGAAGGTTTCTTTCATGCTTCCATTTCAACATGGAAACCATTCAAACACTACAAATATGGATTAAAAATCAGTCCTCAGTATTGCACAAACAGACTGAGGGGGCTGACGGGAATTGCAGTGACCCATCTGACTAGGGCCACTTTGAGAAAGGCTGTTTTTATTTATCCACATTTAGATTCCCATGATAATACACCTGGAAAAAGATAAGGGGTGGGAAGGAAAAACACCGGCTCTGCAAAGTAAGGCCAATTAATTTGGAACACTTTGTTTTAGAATGTGGATAAAATAAAAGGACAAAGTATCTAAAAGGATGATAACAATAGAGATTTTCCATATTTTCTCCTGCCAAGAGGTACTTGAGTAAACTCTTCTTAGATCAAATGGATCTTGTTCGTGCAATGTATAAATTTGTTACAGAAATCTCTGCAATTTTTTTTTGTCAAAATAGCTGTGAACATGCATGGCTTTTAGAGAAGTAAATCAGAAGAGTTAACTGCATTGATGACAGTAGTGATGACAACTTGCTAGATAAGCCAGTTTACCCAATCTGGCATCATCCACGTGTGCCTCAACTGGACCCAGTTCTGGGGGACACAATCCAATATTCCTGCAGGATTCCAGGCTGGGAAAAACTATATAACAGCTTCCAAGTATGCAGGCAAAATAAGTTGAATACTGCAAGATCCAATCTGGGTTGGTTTCTAGCACGAGTCTGAAAGCTCAGAAGACTAAACCTCTGGTCCCCATGACCGACCCAGATTGTATCATGCAACATTCTCCCAGGACACATATATCTGCCTTCACCACTGAATACTGCCTAGAGAGGTGATTTGAGGAAAGTGCTGTTCCTGACTTGGAAGCATTTGATTCTCTTCCTTGCAAACAGACCCTGAGAGCTTCCTTCTAATCTGGAAAAAAATCAGTTTTAGCTCAGCTTTTCCAATGTGTCCTCTTCCAAATTTGCTCTTATTTATATGATGAGAATTGTAGACCCACATCTCTTGAGGGTGCTCAGGAGGGAGAAAAGCTGCCTTATCATGTCTGAATGTTGTTTCTGGGAGTGACTGGCACTCAAAATTAGAGCAAAATACTGCTCACTGGAACAGTGTTGTGGGATTCTTGTGATGTATCTACACAGAGACAAAGGGGCCGATCCCCAAGAAGTTGCTG